TTCGAGAGAAGTGTGGCACATTCGTTGTTTGGTGTATAAAAGGGAGGGCTTGGGAGTGATTTTAAATCATAGAATTTCATCAATTTGAAGCTTTTACGACGACGCAAATGGCTCTTTTGGCTTTTCCATTCCCTTCAAGGTGGCATAGTTCACCGACTGAAGGTCGAGGTCCTGTAGTTGGGTTGATGAACCGACTGTTGGAGGATTTTGATCGTTCACTTCAACCGTTTTGGGAGTGTGCTATCGCGGATGAAAACTCTTTCGGCAAGGTAAACATCTTCCTTCACCTTCCTTTCACCCCCTTTCGCTGGTTAATTTTCATTTCTTTTTTACTATGCTATTATCTCATTGATAAAATATCTTTTAGGTTATTGATGACAAAGAGAATTTCGGTATTCAGCTGGATGTCAGCCATTTCCGCCCGGAAGAATTGTCGGTGAAGATGCAGGATGGAAAACTGTTTGTTGAAGGTCATCATGAAGAGCGAAATGATCAACATGGTTCCGTGGAACGACATTTCATCCGGAAGTATACCATCCCAAAGACTGTGCTGCAAGACAGTTTGGAATCGCAGTTATCCGATCAGGGAGTGCTCCGAATAACCGCTAAGAAGAAAGCTATTGAAAGTTTGCAATTTAAAAATATTCCAATCCAGACGCATCCGAAGAAAAGTGATAAACAGTAATCGGTTGTTACCTCATGCATATTAATCATTGTATTTGTAAATTGTATTAATTTTGTATCGATTATTTGTGCACTATTTGATTACTATAATTGACTATTCAGATATAAAACAGTGTAGTATCATCTCGACAATGTCACTTAATTTAAATTAATAAATTTCTTCTTAAATTGGAATAGTGTCATTTCAGAAATGAGATGAATAATTATGCTTTTTGAATTTTCTTCTCACGTTGCCGAACGATTCATTCTGTTCCCGCGATGAAAGTGAATTTTACACTTCCTTTCATTCAAAAAGGAAGTGTGAAATATTTCTTCACATATTGCTACCAAATGTTTGAATCATTTTTAGCCAACCTCAATATCGATAGGAGATGCTAATTAGATACAGTGTTCCTCTTCTTCGTCACCTGGAAATTCTTTCTAAGCAGAAAGACAATATAACTAGCTTCCTTCCATCGCAGGCAATTCTTTCGGCTGGCATCTCTACTCAAATTAGGAGTCATTAATTGGAAAATCCAAGGGCAACACAGTCAAGAGATTTGTTGTTGGCTAAAAATGATACTTCATGGAATTTTATTAAATGCCTAGTGGGAAAGGATTATATATCGGAGATGTGATAACCTTTGAAGCAAATGGTTGATCCGAAGCCATAAGCATAGGTAGGCGTAAAGAAAGTGCTGTCATAGGTTTCATCTTGTTGAAATAGAAGAAACAAATGTGTGAAGTGATAATGGGAAAGAAAAGAAACTGGAGATAGTGAAAAAATTCGAGAAGTTTTGCTCAAAACGAGAATTATTGTATCGGAAATCTCGGTAATCTTTTAAAAAACTTTCGCAAATAAATTTGCTTCTTTGTTATCAATTTCAGTTTAATGATTGATGGGATTGTTAAAGAAACGAATGAATATCCGTCCACCCACCGACGATGAGCAATTGGTGTGATGTATGCATTGAATGGTAAGTGAGGCAAATCGCTCACCGATCATTTCACCATCCATCCGAAGGGATCGGTGTCGTGGTGCAGGTGCAGGTGCAGGAGGAGCAGGCGGTAGTAATCTCCTGCAGTGCCACATGTTATCATTAGCACAGCTATCATCTCAACAACCATATCCAATACTTTTGGCCATTCCTTCATCCTTTTTTCGCTTTTGTTTTATTTTGAGAATGTTTTCATTTAAAGCAATTTTTCCTGTCAAATCTAAATTAGTTTTTCCGAAAATTTATCTCTTCTTCAAAACAATCCCAATTTCACTTAAATGATATTAGCAGCATTGAAAGCAAATTTCGCCCTCAACTTTTGTTCCTCTCATACTGTTATGCAAGTTAAAATATTCTGGATAATTTATTTGGCGATTGGAGGACACGGTAATTTTTCAATGGAAGATTGCTGTGAAATGTTGCAAATGAATTACTTACAATTCAAATTCTCTTTCTTTTGTCTTCTCCCTTATTAATTTAATTCATTCATCCCTCCATTTGATCGGAAGTAATCTTCTCTCCAATAGATTTGGTCGCTTTTTCTCTGTTGCCAACCCTCAGATACAGCTATGCACTTGGCAGAAGGGAAAAGGAGTTATCATATCTATTACAGTCTTATCATGTTCAGGTATTTATTCTCGTCCATCAAGCAGAATGTTATTAATTGCAACCATCCAAATTTTAGTCACCGTACCTTTTTATGATCTTTTTAGAGCTTTGAAATTTTTCACTGAACATTTTTTCGAATGAATCGCAACTGTTAGATAGCAGCTTTTTAAACCATAATTACTGCAAAGCACGCACACATGCACACTTATCGTATATGTTTTTAGGTTAAGTTGGATAGCAAAAAATTGTACCAACTTCAGCAGTGTAAACTTATGTGAGCTTTTCAGCAAATTCGTCTCAGAAACTTCTTTCTTTAGTCAAAATTCATTAATAGAGAACATTGGTATGCGAAATAAGAAGGTGGTAAAAAGCTTTGAATTATCTTCATTCTGTTTATCAGGTTTCCAAAAGGGATCATTTATTCTGTTATCACAGCATCCTTATCATTCTCATCATTATCACTGATATGGATGATTTGTATGGATAAGTGTTCATACGTTCACTTAGGCTTTATATAGGTTCTTAATTTTTTTTGGAGGTGCCGCCTAACCAATCTAGAAACTCTTGGAATTGAGTTTCTAGGTTGGTTACATTTTTCTCATCGTTAAGCTTTTTAATAAGTGATATGACTTCGATTTACATATTAGTTATTATTTTTTGATTAGGCATTTTTTAATATTTACTTTTTAGATTTAGATTTATTTTATTCCTTTTTGTTTTTATTGTTTATTATCTCTATTGAAGTTTTTTTACTTCTTTAGGAAGCTGTATTTTTTTAATCTTGATTTATATATTTTTATTGAATATGGTTTAGTTATTGTTATATTAACCTATATGCCATAAATTTAGTGAGGGTTTCGAAAATTGAATTTGAAAAATGTAATTTAAGGAATTGAATAAGTTTCAAATTTCAGCTTCAATTTTGTATCTATTAACTTTTTCTAAATTTTTTTTCATCTAAATTTTTGGAATTTATTCTCAAATGATATCCCGAAACGGTCGTCTTTCGGAAACGGATACTGTATGAATTTATGCAAATGCTTCTTTTGAATTCCTCGTTATTTAAGCTATCAATAATCCGCTCTCATTTCATTGGCTAATTAATTTTTTCATAACTTGCTTAACATATTTGGGAAGATATGTCCTTTGTTGCTTCCTTTGTTACTCCTCACCATTTCAGTCTTAATGTAAAAGATCTGACTTCATTTTTAAAGCAAAATATAGTTTAACTAAAAAAAATTAACCAACATTAAATGAATCTTGAGACTTTTGAAGTGATACTGCAAATTTTTATTCATTTTTTAGCTCAAATTTTTTAATGTCTTCAAGAAACAGTATGCATTACTTATACTGTACTCATCTGATGAAAAACGGACGCGGAGCGACTGTGTATTTTTTCGTTCCTTTTTTCAGGATACTTCAGAGTACACGGTGGTAACGTTGATTTTTTTCATAATTCGATCAATATATTTTTTTAGATAAAGCCGATATTTCTTGAACAAAGAACTCCTCTCTGCTGCTAATAAACATTTATTTGGGAATAATTAATTAAAAGGCAATTTTAAAATAAATCGTATGGAAACAATCTTACAACTTATTTTGCGTGGTAGCTGATAATTCAACATTGATGATTATAAATAAGCAATAATTTTCTGGTACCGTTCTGTTCCTGTTTTTGTTGTGTTCCCTCTTCTATTTTTAGATCAATTTAAATATTTCGGAAATGTCTTTCAAGTATATACGTCAGAATGCTTTGATCGAGATTAGAAAACATCAAAAGATCAGAATTAAACAGATGATTTAATGGTAATTGTTCTGTGAGCGCAGGAGGGTAATCATCGGAATGAATGATTGAAGGATCTCATTTTTTGTAAATGCTAAGATTGATCATCGAGACGAGATGTTTTTTAACTCAACGAACTATGTCAACAGTTGCTTCTATAATCGTCAGATGTCTTTGGGAAGAGGAAGACAAATGAGCATCATTTTCTTTTTGAAAGGATTTGATTCTTTGTAATCTGTCCCAATGGCCATATTATTATCTTTGCCCGTGTCTTTGCTCGTTTCAACTCTAAGATTGAATATTACTACTCGGATGGCGTGGTCAGCTATGCCAGAAGTCTCGGATCAAAGTTCGGACTTGATTTCCAAAAGCGTAAATTCTGACAGGAATTTCATTATGCATCTGTTGTCACAAAATCGAAATTTAACAATTTTCGAACGGAACGGAAATTTGTTCATCGATTCTCTGTTGATTGCTTCACTTGATAACAACATAGTTAACACGTTAAATATCAAGTGTTCCAATGATATTTCGCTGAGAATCACAATGAATAATAATATATCAAAAACAGTTCTGTCGCCGTCATTGTGTCAACAAAATTCTCAATTAAGTAAGCTCTGAAATCATGATCACATTATACTATCTCTTACATCGGTGTTATCACTAATTATCAGATTGAATTGCATAATGTATTTCTATTAGTATACAGCAATTAACGACTGTACATCGCAATTACAGAAAGTGCACACATCAATTAAATTAAAGAATATTTCCAACGACATATCAGAAAAACTTTTGATAAAGCACAATGAATAACACTGCGAGATAAGTTCTATCAATGGATAGATTTCCTCAAAAACTTATGTTTATGATGGCTTGTAGCAAGAGAGGTGGAGAGAAGTGCATTGATAATAAGACATTGATATTCATTTCGAAATTGAATTTCTTTTGTGGAGTAGTTTCTGGGCAATTCAAATTGTATGGTCGATTGTAAAGGCTGGATTGAAAAGTAGCATTTTAGAAGTGCAAATTGGCAATACAGAGGGAAGCAAAGAACGGTACTTTAATGGCTGTGTAGGAAATGTTACCATTGCTGGAACAGTTTTGTTAGATCGGTGGTGCAGGTTAGTTAATTTTGTTGGCTATAATTTAATGCCATAATCAGCGCTACTTTCATACTTGTGTTAGCATCAATTTCATTACCGATGAAATAGGAGAGGAAAGAGGAGAGCATTAATTATGCTTCACGAAACACTGAAAAGTATACCAATCTGATGTAGAATGAAAGAAATGTCAAAGTTTTTTACGAGAACATTAAATTCTTGAAAGAAATTTTAAAAATATTAAGCGCTGATGAAAAGTCACAGAAGGCGCAACAACAACAAAAGAACGCAAATAAACAATCAGATGGACCACGTCCTCCGCCACATTACGTGGAACCATCGCATTTTGCAGAACCATTAGTTTTGGATGAGGGAGCAATTGCTCCAATACAGAAATGGAATATTTATGCCTTCTCGAGATATCATCACAGCGGCATTTCAAAGGAAGATATGCTCTTCAGGTAATGTTATATTCGACCAGGGAGAAAAGAATAGAAAAAAATAATAATTAATTATAGAACTTTATAAATCCACTGTGCTTTAACTTTTCATATCTCATCAGATCATCTCGAATACAATTTTTTGCAAGCTGTTTTTTGAAACTTCTGAATTCATTTTTTATAGTATTTCCAACTTGATTCTTCCATGTAATTGCATTTGCTTGTGGCACTCGTCCAATTTTAGTTGCCGAGTAGGAATTACTTTTTCGAGTAGTCTCTTTGTTTCATTTAATTGATTGCTACCTTGCTTATTTGTTTTCTATTACTTGTTTACTAAACTTCATCACCTATCGTTTATTGTTTTAGGTTATTGGAACCACCACAGCATGGACAGTTATTAAAGTACGGCCAACCAATAAATCAATTTGTTAGCAGCGATATTTTAGCTAATAAAATATTTTACAAGCACGACGATAGCGAAACAATTAGTGATAACATTGGTTTAGAGGTATCATTTCAGGGGATACCTGAATATGCCTAAAATACACTTCTTTTGTCGTAGGCACATCTGATAAACTGTTCGGTATTTAAAAGATTAACTTTAAAAAGTAATTAGGACATTCACTTCTCGCCAACATTTGCAAATTTGGATTTCAGGCTGTGGTAATTTCACAAGAAGCGATAGAACCAAAACGGAACTTGATTTGTAATATACCAGTACGAATCAACCCTGTAAATGACGCACCTCAACTGAAACCGGGAACTGATTCGGAAACGTTATGGATAACCGGTGGTTCAAAGTAGGATTCGAAAAAAGTTTTTTTAATTTTTTCAAATTTCCATAACACATTTGCTACTGTCACTTATTGTGATATTTCCAATGAGTGATAGTAGCAAATGTGTTATGGAAATTTATGATAGACTGTAAAAAATTTATTTATAATATTCGTCGCATTAATTCATTGACGTATAAAACGAGAGAAAAAATTTCGAAGATAATGAAAAGTATTGAAGACAAAAAAGAAGACAAAATTCTTGAAAATGCTGAAATTTATGCTTTAAAAAAGTATCAGAGAATTCAAAAAACCTTACATAGAAGCTGTTTTTTAATTCCTCATATCTTTGGCTATAAGAATATACATCTGGCCAGGTATCATCCTGTAATGAATAAATTCTCAGTTTGTGTAGTGGAAATGAAAAATGGAAAAGATCAGTAGACCTTTTCACCAACACAATTCTCCTTCGTCTGATAATTACTGGATGGATGTGTTTAAAGGCTTAAATTAGATGGTAGAGCAATGAGCCTATGGGATGCGGATAGCGATCCGGAAACAGTGTACGTTTCTGTTGCCACCGCTCATGGAGTGCGGTTAGAAAATTCGGGCAGGAAAGAAATTCGAAAATTCACTCAGCGAGACTTTTTAAATAACGATGTAAGTTACCGGTTTTATTAAAATGTTTAAATTTTAAGTGAATAGCGAAGGAAATAAGAACGAAATTGTAATTAGTGTTCAAATCTGTTCTATCCTGAGCTTTTGTCTTATGTATTCTTAGTTCTAGCTAAAACAAATGAGAATGAATAAGAAGAGGAATTGAACTAGACATTCCATTTCACCGATCCTTTAAAACTGACAGCAACCACCTCTCGTAATCGATTTTGTCACCATTAAAATTCTGAGTTTTTATTGTAGTTTATCGTGAGATGGCTGTATGTCTGAGAAAATTTTCATTTCAGAAGGTGATTGTGTTTGAGATGAAGTAGAAAGAATAAATGTCAAATTAATTAATTCAACTACGCTCTGTTTCAGATTCATATTATCCCTACGGGTAGATTGAGTCAGGAGGGTACGTTGAAACTGATTGCTAGTGATGGTAAAAATCAGTCTGATCCGCTTCAGTTGACAATACATTTTGCACCGATTGAGATACAATTGAAGGCTAACACGGGTATTTCATATTACGCTGTAACAGTAAATTGCAATAAAAATGATTTAACAAGCAAATAATCGAGCGAGCAGATACAGCGAATCTTCTCTAGTAACATCTGAATGATAAGTTGTAATTACAGGCCTAAAAGTGATCCATCAGACGGCACGTATCATCTCATCCGCAAATCTGTCGTTTACAACAACCCTTCCTGGAATACCGATTGAGTATACCATCGTTGATCAACCGGAATATGGTGTCGTCCAATGTCGCCGTGGGTTGGGGCAATTTGAAATTTGTTCGACATTTAGTCAAAACGACATCGATAGTTCAAATGTACAATATAAACATTCCAGTGCTGCGCATTCGCTGATCGATACCTTCAGTTTTCAGGTATTTATCAAAGAATACATCAAATTCATGAAACTTTATTGGAAAAAAAAATTGATCCAACAATTGGACTTGATTTTTTACGAATCTGAACATTCTTGGCTTCTGTTATGTTTACTTTTAATTTAACATTCAAAAATTCCTTTCCTTCTTATTCAAGTCTCAAAGATCATCACATCAACCATTTACAATATTATACCTTATAGTCATTTAGATTCGAGTTGGTACCACGACATCAATGATACATGTTTTTCGTATAACGTTTATTCCGGTTCACGTTAAAATTTTTAACCGTATCCCATTCCTATTAAATAATACCGACAATTTACCGTTGAAACGAGAAAATTTGTTTGCTTGGACGTTTCCCAAAAGTTTTCCAACCAATCAACTTATTTACCATATCATTGAACCACCGAAATTTGGTACTTTACTACGTCGAATTGAAAAAAATCGAAATCGACGAATTGGCGTTTCATCGAATTTTACCCAAAAGGTATTTGTTGTATGATATGCAGATTTTGCACAAAAAGATTCATCAATTCAGTTAGTTTCTTTCTTATTCTACTATAGAAAACATTGAAGATTAGAAAGTCAATTGCTGTGCCAATTATTTTTTAATTAAAAGATGAAAAATCGAAGTTTCGAAATTTAATGAAGTGAGGCATCTTACTGCTTACTGTATTCAATCCTTCATTTATGCTACAGTTCACTAATTCATTTTGCTGCGATGAATACGATGACGAAAGGAATCAATTTTACTTATTCTATACATATTCACCCGTCCCTATACAAGACTGAAATACTTCATTACTTGAATAGCTAAATTCCAAATTTTGAAATTTTGAATTTAAAAAAGAGTAATTGAAGACATTTTCATTAACGACGTTTATGGTTAAAATAGAAAAGTAGTCATGCGAAATTCGAACTGTTAAATCGAAAATAGTATCACATTTAATTTTATTGATGGATTGGATCAAATTTAAACATTTATGTTTGATTGAAGTTCGTATTGCAGCACATTGACGACAGCGATATTAGCTATAAGATGTATTTTGTGCAATATTCCATTGTAAACGATTTCTTCACTTTCCGGTTGATCACACCATCGGTTACCTCGGAGGAAATTCTTTTCGAGATAACATTTATTCCGGGACATGGTTCTGTACAACTTATTAATCGTACCATTATTGTTGAAGAAGGTGGCATGCAAAAGGTTAATTTCAAATTTTAAATTCACATACGGTTTCGTTATAATTTTTCAATTAATCATTTTTGGCTTCAAATAAAGTTTTTTAATTCTCCATTCTATCAAATTCAAAACTCGGCTTCAAAAAAAGAATTAAAAAAACTTTATTTTGGCTTCAAACAAAGTTTTTTTCAATTCTCCACACCAAAAATTCAAAAAGTGGAAGAGATCACCATTAATATTTAACTAGCCCTAATTGTCTTAATTATAATCTTCGAGATGCAATCCATGTAAAAATTTCAATTGCTTTTTTTGTAAAGTGCAAGTTCAAAGTTAACATCTATATTGGAGATAACGAATGAATCACTATCATTACGAACTCCGGATAGTAACAATTTTGTATTTACTATCCGTAACGCACCTGTCTATGGCAATATATTTATGAAGATAGCAAATGATGAACAGCTGAAACTGGTCAGTGGTGACAATTTCACTACTTTGGATGTTAACAACGGCAAGTAAGTGAATTCAAAATTTGGACTAAGTAAGTCAAATATTTTTCAAATCACTCAAGAATTCATTAGCTTTCAAATACATGTAACCAAAAGATTTGAAGAACTGTTATTGGAGTTGTAATCGGAAGCTGATAAGATTGAGCGTAATGAACCAAATGTTCAGTGTCTTCTACGAACATATGGATGGCGAGAATCGCATTGATAGAGTATTCTTGTTGGCGGAAAGCACTTATCAGCGTACAAGTCGAATACCATTCTGGCTAACAATCAGGTTGATCTTGAAAAATGACAATATTCCAAGACTGGTTGGCAACAATGTTATACAAGTATGTTACATACATATTAACAGACTTCTTGGTTACTCGTCAATTCCACCAAAAGTTCGTAAATTAAGCTTTCAGAAAAAATTGAAAAGATACCCACAACTCATACTCTTCAAAGTCTCTCCAACTTTTCAGAAGTGTTTGTAATTCGAAAGGTCAGCTTTCAGGCACTCCAAATTATGCTTTCAAGAAAAAATTTAAAACATCACATATAAATCTAATTTTTTTATTTTAATTTATGGAAATGTTGATTAATTATGCATAATTGTATGAAAGTTAACAGCTATTACATTTTATGCAAATTTAGAGACCAAAATTTCAGATAACGGAACGCGGTGACCGTACACTGTATCCATCATTGTTGCCTTGGATAGATGACGATATTGATGCCCAACCATTACAGTTTACTTTTCATGACAATTTTCGACATGCTGCTATTTTGTCCACTTTTCCGCCATCTGTACCGTTGTATAGTTTCACTCAACGACAAATGCAACACGGGGAAGTGTTAATAAGGCATTTCGGATACAACAAAAAGTTCAAAATGAAGTAAGTATTGGAATTTGTGACTCTCATTTTTAAAGTGAAGAGATCAGGGAATACAGTGAATTTCTATTTTCTGCTTTATAGCTATACTGTATCGGATGGCGTGCATGAAGTGCAGTCAGTGGTAGTAATCGTTGCATCGGAACCCTTCCTAAGGATTCAGAATAGCAATATTACAATTTCGACCAGGAACGGAACAACAGCAGCAATCCTCGTGCCACTAACAAATCGCAATCTTTCCGTTATAACCAACGTTGATGGAAAGAATTCTGACATTTGGTTTCATGTTACCACCGAAAATTGGATTTTTGTCGGTAATTCCACCAAGAAACTGGTAAAGAATTTCACACAACAGGTAAGCTTTTCCGTACATTTTAAAATTCCGAAACGATTGAGAATATCGAAAGAATTGAACGAGTTAAATGAGTATAGAAAATGGTATGACAAAAAAGAAGGAAAAAAGTAGTTCCGTTGCCATCCTTGTTTTACAGGATATCGATGATGGTCGAATTTTGTACCGTATTATTGCGCCACCACTTGATGATAGCCAAAATGAACAAGTAATCACTGCTATGGTTGCGAATCTAACAGTAATGGAAATGTTTAAAGTTTTAAAAATTCAACTGGATAATCATGGAAGACGTCATTTGGAAATGCGCACTTTGACCCCACTGATTGTTCCTTTCTCATCAATTTCGCAAATTGACAAAAGCATTCTGCTAGCGACGGCTTCTAACAAACAGCCAAACGAAATCGTTTTTGATGTCATCCGACAGCCAACGCATGGTTCACTAATTCTGGAGTCATTGAGAGGTAAAAGGGTGATAAGTGTTGCGAGACTGATTTTTCCACTGATATGCAAATACATTCAATCAAATAATGCATTTATTTTATTTTAAATTACTACTATATTCACTTCATTTCCGATCATTACTGTTTCTGTCAACAGTCAATTAAGAGGAGAATTTCTTGACTCTTTTCAAAAGGAACTAACCAAAACATTATTCCTTTCAGCAGTTAATAATGGACGCACTGTAATTCCAAGTAATTTCTTCGTTTCACGCTTCACGCAAGCGCACGTTAATGCCGGACAAATACAATATTTGCATAATGGTATACTATCAACACGTGATTCTATTGTTTTCAACGTTTCGACTGAAAACCAAATGATCGGGCCATACACACTGTTTATCAATATTGTAGATGACAAGGTAATATAAATTGAAACTTTTTTTCCGTTTTGCTAATGAAATATGACGTTGAAAAATACAGCGAAATTAAATAATGCAATGCTAAAATGCTAAAATGTCCAATAATGCCACATATAATATTATTAATGTTTCAAAACTTCACATTTTGGTTTTTAGATCGAATTGTCGGTATCAAACATAACAGTTACTTCTGGATCCAGCACAGTAATAAGTAAGGATGTTTTAAATACAACAGCCGGAACTGAAGACGACATAGAATTTTGGATTTTGTCGGATCCCGAATGCGGATGGATTATTCGTGATGAACGGAACCTAACTAATATCAATACTGTTAGACAATTCAATATTCAAGAACTCAGTGATCATCGAATTCATTACGTAAATAATCCAATTAGTCGAGAGCAGAGAGACACGTTCACGGTAATAGCATGTACGACAGGAGCACAACAGTGTACCGTACCGAAACAAGTAACTGTTTTGGTACGGTATTATAATTTTTACGGTAAACTTTTTTTGCAAAGTTGAAGGGCGACAAATTGTTGATCGTTACAGTAAAAGTAAGTCTGACCAGGCTTTAAGTTTGAGGAGCAAAAGATTATGTTGCAGAACCGGAATTGCTACGTAACGAAGTAATGATAATATGGAATATGAACAGAGCAGCAATCACCAAGCAGCACTTATTTTCACAGGTTCATTTTTGTATTGCAATCTTCAGAGTGTGTAACGATGTATATTTAGTTTGAGATAGACAAGAATAAAAATAGGAGTAAATTAGATGAACCTTACTGCGTGAAGTAATTTATTGAATTAAGGACGACGATACACCTGCCGAGCAGTTACGATATCTTATCAGTCAACCACTGCATGGATATGTTGCTCGTGTGAATAATCCTTCCAAAGCTATTACAAATTTTTCGCAAGCGGAAATTAACAAATCAGAAATAATCTTTGTAAAAAATGAAGGTGTAATTTCTGGAAGAATTTTTTTTAACTTTACGATGTCGTTCTTTCATAAACTGTTTAAAACTGTGGATTTAAAACAAGCCACGTAAAGCAAAACTTTTCGATTATCTTCAGGTACTACAGCAGCTGGTGGATTTTCATTTCTCGTAAGCGATGGTTTTCATCAAATTGGTCCTGAATGGTTTACAGTTGAAAGTTCGCAAGGATTTAAAGTCACCATGGACACAAACAGTGGTCTTGTAGTGCCACCAGGAAAATTTCCTGTTGCTATCGGATCTGATTTATTAAAAGTTCACATTGCACGTGTAGGTTTCATTAAAACATCAAGATTTCAAAAGTACAATTTTATTGTGAACTGCAGGATTTACAGCTTTGAATATGACCACTCATGTGGATATTGTAGGCAGAGCCAAGTAAAGTTGTATATAAGGTGACGAAAATGCCACGACACGGAAGTTTGCTGCTTTCGGGCGTTCCTGTCCAGCAATTTACTCAAGAAGATATCAATCAAGGACGATTGGCCTACAAAGGAGGTAGTGATTTCGTAGATGAGTGGACCAAAAGAGATCTGTTTCTGTTCAAAGTCTTCATAAATGACTCAACGAATGATTCAACGATCGATGAACATCGTTTCAAAATCTCGATTACCTATGCCGCCCTGCCGTCACATCGTCTGCATGAATTCATTCAACTTCGTAGCGTTGTTGTTTCGCGTGGTAAGTTGAACTATTTGAATGAGAGCCACAGTAATTTAGACTTTGACAAGCAATGCATGCTAAAATTTATCAAAAAAAGTTTAGCCAAAGGGAAAGAAGAATAAATGAAATAATCCAAAGAGGCAATACCAATTTAGGTGGAAGCGTAGCAATCAATAAGTCTCATGTGAACTTGGATGTGGTACGGAAGCACTTACACGATGAACTTCTGGTGGACTTTTCACGAAAGCCACGATATGGTCATTTGGATGTATTAAAGAGCATTGTCAAAAAGCCTGCTCTGATGAAACTTCTTGATCTGTCAACTGGAAGATCATTGATTTATCGGCATCAAAGCACCGAAATATTGATGCCAGATGAAATTTTATTTTATATTTTATCCAAAAATGACGCTAATCGTCGAACGAATCGCTTGCGAATAATACTACCGGTGACAGTGATACCACAAAAAGATCCATTCATGAAGGTTAATGGTTTTGTCATCTTTGTCAACAGTGGACTTAACTTGTCTCTGCACGCAATCATTGTAATGCATTTCACTTCCAGATTAACAAATTTCCGGATCGAATCAAACTACCTGCAGGAAACAATTATTCTCTGTCACCGGAGGTATTTCAGGCTGCACATCCAGAGATTAAACCAACTGATTTAGAGTATCGATTACTTCAGGTAGCATTCACAATTCATTCTGGAATTTCTGTCCTTGCTTGGATCAATACAAGAAGGGGCAGAAAATGTGAAAACTGATTGTAAAGTATTCTTCCTATCTGAATGAGAAGTGGGATTTCAGGCAGGAAGTAATGGAGTGGAATTTTTGATGAGTAGTGGAATGACAAGACTATTTACTCAAGATGATGTAAACAAAGGTAAAATTCGGCTTTCCCATCAACAGCAACTCGATGTCCATGACAACATCGATGTTGTCGTCTTTCAGGTTGTTGAAAAATTTTTTTCACTGTTCTGGTTAGTTATTTTGATATCTAATAATGCTTTAACATCCATTCAGTTTCATCATTGAGGTAGTTTGGGAGTTCAGAAATCAAATGAAATATTTTATCCATCATTTCAAAATAATCAATAAACGATCGACCTGAGAGATAATGCCGAATTAAACAGAATGTTAAATTATGCCAAAAATCGATAAAGTGAGACAAAAATATAAAACCTAAACCAGATCAGGCAAAACAGGGAATCTATCAGATCGATGAACGTGCAACTGAATTGGATGTAAAATTTAATCTTTCAAAACGTATAAACTCCACTCCTTCACTATTGTCATGGTAGCTTGAATTAATTAAATCCAAGCATGGCGGCTTTTGGAAAATTCTGTATATTTGCTTTATTAATTACTTCTGTTATTTCTGTTTCTTTTAAAAATTGAACTATTTTGGGTTGGCAGTCATATAAGGGCGCTTATCATTGATATATTACCGTTGTCACTGTCGCTCGAAAATCATTCCGATGTCGAATATACTCAAGGGAAAACTTATGTGCTTTTGAATAGGTAATATTTGCGGGGGATGAAGTCTTTTGATTTAGCAGTAAAGCGAAGAATTAATTACTATCATTGGTGAACAAATAACAACGTGATGAACAGTTGATTAAGCATTATTTTTTCAGCAGATGTAAGCAAATTATGAAATAACCGATTCAGCCATTTGCTTATTTCAAGCTATGAAATAAATGATTCGCTTGTTTTCATAGCAAAGTTTTGATAACAAATAATTCAACTTTTAAGAAATCTGTACTGTCAATTTCTACTGAAACTAAGAACTGGACGATTTCAGAAGTACTTGGTGGCAAAAAAGCAAAGTAGAAGGCGAGACATCAGATAGACTCTTGTACGTTGCTAATTAATGGTAATCAAAATTTAATTACTTACAGAAGTCACTTCGGTGCTAAGTCAGATGGTGATCGATCTAAAATTGTGTATAGAATAACGAAAGCACCAGAAAATGGCACGTTGTATTGGGTAGCGGGTGAGAAGGAAGCAAATACATTCACGCAGCGTGATATTGATGAAGAACGTGTACTTTACGCGCAACTCAATATGCAAGCATTTCAGGTTGATCTTAATTGCAGTGAGTAAGCAAAGAAGTAATTTAAAGGAAAAATTTCAAAATACATTACTTCATATGTTGCTAGATAACATCCTTACGTCATATATTTATTGAAATCCAGTATTGCATTTTAAAGGAGTTATTGTTGCTAGCCAAGAAGTGTGAAATTTGTCATTTGCTGTTTTCATTAATTTTTCTGAACTTAACAATTGTAAGTTCAACTTAACATTTTTGTTACGCTTACTTAATGAACTTACATGGCAAGATGAGTTGATGGATTATTTCAGGATAGATTCGAATTTAAGGCTGAAAATGAATTAAATGAAACAGTTCAAAGCATTTCATACGTGCGTGTACTTCCCGTACTAAATCCGCAAACCCTTGTTGCTGATGGTAGTTCAGTTGCGCTTGTCACTGATGCACACTTAAACGCTTCCACTTTGCAGGTGATCTTTTTGAGAGATAAGCCAAAAAACTCGACTAATTATTAGATTTTAAGTTTGAATTCGAAGATAGACAGATTTGTCAACGTCTTGAAGGGTTCAACTCCATATTTCTTCGTCACCGAATCACCACGCTTTGGTCGTTTTGTGTTAAGCAGTAATGTCGACCAATTCGTGGAATTCTTCACTTATAATGATATCGTAAATAATGGTTTATTTTACGTACCCAATCAAACCGATGTTATGATACTCGATTTTGCTGAGTTAGAACTAAATGCCGATGAGATTCAACCTGCTAGATTCAGGTTTAATTTGAATTATTAATTCGAAATCTCATGGACTTGCAAATATTTTTATTTACTGCATCTTTTTTGTTTATCCAATTTTGCATCTTAAAATCGAGCAGAAGATCTGATTCAGGTACTTTAAATAATGACATCGGTTCGATTTTTTCATTCTTCAAATTTTCTTCAGATTTGATATCGAAATTCATCCATCTACTAGAATTGATTCCATTTCTTTAACTGGTACTACTGCGAATCACTCGGTACCACCTGACTTATCCCGCTCATCTATTATACCATTCAGCGAATTTATAAATTATTATGTCCTAATCATTCTGTTTGCATTTATTATCGGCGTAATCACAATTGTCATTGCATTCCGACGACATTTAAGCCATCTGAAGGAAATACGTGTAGTGAATGCACAGAAAAGATGTGAATTAGACGCGAAAACGAAGGCGGATCTCGAAAAGAAACCTGATTTGCTGAGTACTACGGTATGTATATTTGGAAAATATTCATTCCAATTATTCCAATTAAAATTTTTCCTTTGCAATTTTATAATTAAAAAATTTTCAAGTGTCATTTCATGTTATTCAAAGAAAGCAGAGGAATAATGTTTTTTTGATTCATTCTCATCTCGAATCCAAGAAATTAATGCAATATTTTTGCAGATTAAATTAATCAAAATATTTAATTTATGAATTGAAATTGACTCATAACTCATTCTTTTTTGCACGGAACAGTAACTTTACTAAATACTTTTCACTTTTCTTTTTTCTACTCACAGATAGATATGAGGGAATTTTTCATGCGCACCCCATTATAATTACAACTATACTAATTGACTTTTGAGATGCTTCTCATTTCCTCTAAAATAATCCATACAGTTCTTCTGCATTTCATGATTCTACAACACCTATAACAGGTCTACGCTACAATAGGGCGCAATCGTCGCGAACCCTCCGAGAAACGACCTGAGCATCCGCTACAAACATTCGACGGTTCAAAACATTATGCATCTTTGGCTCCGACGCCTACATCTCACCGAATCCAGTCCAGACCGTTCTCTGATGAATCTTTAGATTATCGGGCGTTAAATGTTCGGAATACTCCAGAATTGAATAGGTCGAAGTCTGATCGATATCACTCAACGAGGTTGAAAGATAATCAATATTGGGTATAACTGATAACAACTTGTCTCTTCACTTTTCCATTATATATTGTTTTTTACTGTGCATTTATCACTGAGTATTTATAATATCACTTTACATCAGTCTCTGTTCCTCCTACGAACTCAAAGAACTTTCCGAATTCAGTTTTTTTTTACTTCGGAAGGAATAATTTCCATAAAGCAAAAATAGTCATATGAAAAAAATTGAAAATATGAAATTTACATTCTATTTCTTTCTTCCCTCATTGAAGTGCTCGAGGCAACATCACAACAGCAACATTGGGAACTGATGTTTCGAAAACGGAAGACAATAATATTAAGAATTTAATTTCTATCAAGGGGTCTTCAGTTTCTTCACAAATTTCAAATCCGATTAATTGTCGCGGTGTCACTTCTTTAAATTTTCAGTAAATGAGAGAAATTGCTTTTATTCCGACTTCCATAAACTCCAAATATTTATTAAAATTGGTTTTGGTGGATAAAACTATAATTTGAAATGAAATTTAGACAAGACCGATGGATTTAAATCAGGTCTTTAAAACGGAATGTGTTAAATCCGTTTCTCTCATTTGGGCAGTATGCGATCTGGAAAGTGATTCTACAGAAATTTCAAATATTCCAAAAAAAACTGTCCAAAACAGGAAAGCTTAAGAAAAATTTCCTGCTTAAAAAGCAGGCGAAGAAAGCCTTTAAAAATCAAACGTATTTTTTAGGGACAAATAAATAAACCAATATTTGGACAGCGTTTACTTCATGACAATTGCAGTCATTTCCGTATAATAATTTTTTTTCACTTTTGTATGAGTTTTACCATGAATAAACAGCAAATTTAGAGAAGCGTTAAACCCATTGAAATGAAATGCGGGATTCAGAACGGATCAGGAAAAGTCTGTTCAAAGAGGAGAGAAGAGAAAAGAAATGATGGCTCCTTTGTCGTGCCACCGGATCTCAAAAGTAAAAAAAAATTTCAAAATCCTACCTTATTTTTAAAACAGTTTAAATTCTTCACACTATTGTATCTTTCATGAAGTTTCTTCCACGCGATAATTAAATGGAAATGATTGGATAGTTTCCGGATGCGAGAAGGCATATGAAAGAGCCGAAGTACGATGTTTACACGAAATCGTGCAAACAAGGAAGGAATAGAAGAATGTCGGAAACAAAAAACCGGTTTTTACACTTTTCGAGCAATGTAGATGAATTCGGAAATTTTCCTTATTTAAATTTTGACAGAGAAAGATTTTTGCAAAATGGAAATCTCAATCAGAACAAATTACGATTTTTCATTGAAAAAGTAACACTGAAGAATTGATAGCCATTCATCAGTTGTATTTTCACTCTTTCGAAAGTGCAAATAATGATTCGCTGTCGAAATTTCAGTCGCAAGCACGTTTGGCAAGATTATTGCACAATTTTCCGCAGTTGAAATTTAAGATTATGATAATTGATAAGAAGGCCATAAGTGATTTCCGTGTGTTGCCCTATCCTTTGTGCAGATTTCCTCATACCCGCCTGCCATTCGAGGACATTAAATTTGCTATCATTTGAAAGATAGACCGATACTGAGGTTCGATCATTTGATTGCAAAGATTAGAGGAAATTCTCCATGTGAAAAATTTGAAGTTTTGAAAATATGATTCATGTAACATTTTGATCTCACAAATACTTTACAAGAAATTCGATATGTTTTCAAGATTTAGTACTGATGTTGTAAAATGATTTCTTATTTACAACGAAATATTCCCAAACTCATGCTCAATACTTTGCGCTTTCTTAGTGATCAATCGATAACTGGATGGAGTACCGAGGTTTTGTAGCTGAGTTTCTAACTGAAAAACACATCTGCCACTTTGATGAAACAATCCCAGTGATATTTATTTATATGGCAAACTGTGCACGTCGATAAGTATTTCTTTTTTAAGCTGCAAATTTCGTGAAATACAGGTAAAAAATTAGATACATTATGTAAAATGTAATAAGCCTTAGAAAAATATGATTATACACTGAAATGATAAATCTGACAAAAATAAAATTTCACAAACATCTGATAAAAACATTTGGTTCATTTAAAATGTTTAGTTTTGTATAAAAAACGAAGGACCTATTCAATCATAAAGACTCCTTAGAAAGAACAGTTTTTTAGTAAAAACAATCAATAAAACCACTATAACTGTGATTTATGCTATCATCAATTGATAACATCAATTGATTGGAAAAGTTAATGCAAATAATAACTCATCACTTATCGCATTCATTTTTTCTTCTCCGTTGAAGTACCAGACAGAATAGGCCGAATTGAATCTTATCTTGGCCGGACAATATTTTTATACAAATTTCTTTTTTAAATTTAGAAATACAATATGAAAATACTTTTTGAAATTTGGTTTTTTTTAGTAAGGAAAATGTCGATTTTTTGCTTTTAAAATATTTATTTATCTTTCTTTTGGAAAATTAAATCACATGTAGGAAATTGGAACTCAGTTTTAAGTTAATTAGAAACCGAAAGTAGATTAGAGGCCAAGTAATTAGATAAAATCATGCATGGCTAGCTAGCCTAAAGGATTATGCATAACATTTTATTACGTGCAAATTTGCAGTTATATGTATTTCTGCTTGATGTAGTAGTTTTTCTGAGAGACTTAAAAATGAGTTTTAGTCAACCTAAATTTCTTGCAGTTTTCTTTTTTAGGAAAGGTCAGAAATGCTGCAGTCAAAAAATATGACATTATTGGATCATTAATTCGGTGAAGTCAGAAACAAAGACATAAAAAGAGTTTCTTTCACTTCCTAATTTCAAATGAAAGTCTTTTCAAACATTTGCACCTAATTCCTTACGAGGTTAGGCAAGAATTTTATAATATTATTGTTATTATTTTAAGTATTCAATGGACGTTTCTTATGCAAATTTCTAATACTGATTTAAATTGTAATTGCTAATCCCTGAAAACATGTACAGTTTTTCACAATTTAATTTAAGAAGCTTTCATTCCTTTTCATTCCGAAAAAATTTTCTGTTAATCGATAAGAAACTATTTTAATGTCTGAAATATTTTTATAATATTATTGTGATTTCAGGCACATTTTTCTACTATAACTACATGGAATACTGGAATGTGGATAAATATTTCGTAGGATAAAAATTGTGGTGAAATGGAGAGAATTCAAAGAGATTTCAACTTTGTAAACTATGTAAAGTGAACTTTTTTCGCAGGAAATCTTTTCAATATATAAAAAATATGAGGAACTCAGAAACCTTTGAAGTAAATGGTTATCCTTTAAGCCTGAAAAAATACTGACGTCCGATGATGAATATGTTTAGTGTGACAGAAATTTCGTACTATTCTTCATTTTAAAATTTTATTCGATCGCAAATTCCACTACTGACAGAATGTCTCAGAAAGTTACGATAGTCTGTAATGCGACAAGAAATACGGCAATTTGTTTTCGAATTCTGACAAGTTATATTTAATTTTTCTTCTCCATCAATTTGTTTTTATCTTTCTCAATTTTTTTTTTAGAAAATTCTGTACAATTTAACAGAAATGATTAATTTAGACGACTGCCTCTCCAATGTAAATTTTGTAATGATTCAATTTTATAGCGTATTGAGAATTTAAAATTTTCGTCTTTTGCCAAAAACGTTGATGTGCTGAAGTCTGATCGAAGTCTTGTCAAAATGCGCTTCCAAACGATTATTCCCGTGTCTTTGTTCCACTTTTTAATCAAACAGAAATCAAAAATTACGCCTTTCTCGCATGTTCAGTTGAAGTGATTAGCCGTCATCAAAGAAGCAAACTTCATAATTCGATGGGTCAAAGGAAACATTCATATTATGTGCTCATTATAGTATTCTTGCAGAATAGGGATTCAGGAAGCATCGCTTTGGTTGTGAAAAGGATTGTGCGTTAATAAATCAGTAAATTTGTAACAAGCCAGATTTTTTCGTATGGCCAGGGCAAGGAAGTGAGTATGAGTTCAAAAAAATGTTTTCAAATTTATTAAATATTTTATCATTCCTTGTAAAGGCTATTTTCTAAACTCGAAGAGAATGAACTATGAGAAGTTTTGAGAAGTGTTTCCCATGCATTCAAATAGTCACATTGATGAGTTTTCATCACATCCAACTTCATTGAATTTTAATTGTTAAACAGTTTATTTTTAGCATCATTCCACTGAGGAATCAGCTTGTCGCTTCCTTTAACTCCATTTCAATGATTCACAGAGAGAGAGAGAGAGAGAGACACTTTCACTTCACACTCACTTCCACACTACGGAGAGCGAAACAGAATGATAATAGCATTTCTTTTCTCCATGTCTTTTGTAGAAATGTTTTAACTCTATTTTAAACACGATATCTCAGCCTTCTGATAAAGGACCATTTCATCTTAAATATTTTCAGCGGCAAATGGATGGGAAACAAATGCTATTGCTTCACCTAAAACTGAATTCAAGCATAAAATGAATCTCGAGTCTACCAGAATCAATTTAACTAATAATTATCATTCCACTCGTGGTGGTTCCATCCAATGGAGAGGGAATGGAAGTGCGTTACGACGGAGGACATCACAGTACTGCGTTCCCGTGGGGACAAGGACAGACTTCGTTTCCGCATTACCGTTCTGTGTCAGTGTCTCCTCATGTTAGAAATTCTTTCAACTTCCTCTAACAATCAATTTATTCAAATTATCTGACAAGTTAAAATTATCATGTTGTAGACAGAGGTGAAGCACTGATTTTTTGAAGAGAACATGCCTGTGCATACCTGATAGAGGTATTTTCTTGTTTCCATCAACTTATTATTTTAATGCAACTATTTAGGCCTAAGATGGGGGCGATGAAAAGTTTCGGGTTGGATATGTTTATTTATTTCACTGGTCAGTGATATTTATATTAACTTGAAGCTTATTTTAATGCATATTACTGTGCATGCTTAGAAGCAGGTATTTCCAGAGTAGAAAAAGACGGTAAGAATGAAAGAAATCAGCTATGACACTCTGAGAGTTCAAATTTTAAATCAAAAATTTTCTATGATTCAAGTAAGCTTGCAGTTTCTAATCACTAGCGAAAATGAAGCTTTTCCAAATCTTAATTTTGTTATTTGAAAAACTCGAAACATTGATTGCCTTTATTGCTTTTCGCTAGTGCTTCTCTGCTCTAACCCTTTGGTAATCAGATTATAATCCGATCGACGATGACACAGCAGTACTGATTGAGTGCCCTCTGAAAATCCATATGTGCTTTTTGCATAAGGAGTTTCATGACATGACAGAATAACCCTTGCAAATGTACATTGATGTGAAAAAGAATGAAATGCTGCATATCAGTTAGCATTATGAGAATTTCACCGGGAAATGCTTCTCAAACATGGACCGCCTATGCTGTCGACTGGGTGGACGTCTTGGTGATCCCCGTGAGCGGGACTTCGTTGCGTTCTTCAAAGTGTTGAAGATTGGAGGAGCATTGAGATCGAGAGCATACTCTTCCTGAGGTTCCTCCTCGATCAGCAATGCTGAATTACTGCACTCCTCCAACGATGAAAGATCTTCCACTGACGCTACCGGCGCCATTGGTGGCAGTTCTTGGATGAGCTTTTCTCTGAAAAAAATTTCTTCCAATTAAACAAACACGGTATTTTCTGAAGGAAAATAACTATTTTCCAAAATAACAATCATTCAAAGATTTCACATTTAAAAATATATGGCCAAAATAAACATGTCAAAAATCCCCACTTTTCGCCATCCAAAAATTCCAACTGTTCCACAAATAACTGTCGAGCAGTCGCGAAATGTTCACTCGACGTCTGAATTTCCTCCTCAACTGAACCTTTGTGCTCGTCGATTAAGCGCAAATTCTCAACAATCTACAAAGATCCAAAATGATAGGTGTAAGATAAAGAAGGACTACTAAATGAAAAAGATACAGTTAGTGGAATAAGAATAGTTTTGCTGCTTAGTATTTAGTTTTCATTCATTTGAATTTTGATAAGCGATTTTTAAAATATCAAAATATCTTAATTAAAAATACCTTTTCGCTAGCAGTTTCAAGTGAAACAATTTCAGTTAACATTAAGCGGAACTGCCTTAATTTCTCTTCGATTAAAGCTTGTACACAGATAGCTTGTCTTTCAACATCTCGTAGTTGATCTTGCGCACGCAGTGTTTGATTAGTGCGCAAAATACAAGGTGCAAAGATAAGTGCCAAATTTGCAGCACTCATTTTGTTTACTGATTCCTGAAAACAATTCATAGGATAACTAATATTTAAGGCAGTAAATGACCTACAGTGCCTGTGATATTCTACTTAAGCTAATACAGTGACGAAGTATATTACCAAAGATAAAGTTGAATTAAAGTTTACTGCAACACTGTCGGCATGCACTACTTGCTTTAATTAATTTATATTTTGAAATTTCAACTGCTAATATTCGGCTTAAAATTATCTAATCATTGATATATATGTCATCTCACTAACCAATAAAATGTAATTAACTGAAATCTGAAATTCTGAAAATAATTCATATCACAACAGCAAGAGTATGGAGAGCTATCGATCAAGTAATATTTACTTACCTGATTAGCAACCCGTGCCAAATGATACAACAGTCGATCCAAAACACTTCTGTTACATTTTGGCAATAATTCTACTATTACGCTCAAACATCTTATTCGTTCGGCGCTTTCTTCTACTTCTATAATCAGCAGATTTTCAAGTTGTAAAATTTTAAATGAATAAAAAGCGAGTAAAATTGTTACTATTGGAACAAATGTGTCTTTCTTACCTGAAGCATTCAGAAAATTTTCGTAGAGATCGTAAGTGATAAGAGGTTCCGGGAGCTCACGGAAAAACGATTTTACTAAAGTTGTCATAATATGCGTTGAGACGTCATCAAACGATAATGTTTCGAATTCTGAAAAAAAATTCATTTTTTCGCTTTAAAATTTACTTATAACAGAATTTATGAAGTCATCCTTCCATAGAATGTGATGATGGCTTATAGTAGTCATTCTAAATCGGCCAAAGGTGAGAAAGGACAAAATATGAATTCCCTGGCAGAAATTAGTCTCTTTAACTGTAACACTATTTTTATAAGCAATGGGAAATATACTACCTGCATTTTCAATTTCTCGACGTGCATTACGTACTTGTGCGAGTGCTGCACTTTTCCTATAAATTCCTTCAACAAATAGAGCCTTAAGTTCAATAGCCATGAAAAGTTTATCGATAACAATTGGAACTGTTTCTTGGTCGTTCACAAGACTGCTTAAATTAGCACCAAAAAATCGTCCGCCAGATTGCAAATTCTGAAAACTTTCTTGAGTGAAGAACAAATGTGAGGAGCAGAAAGGGAAACAGTTTAGAAGGATGTTGCACGCTGCAGTACGCAGTATTTCCAACATGGTCTTGCTTATTCGATTTGTCCCATCTCAACTAAAATGTGTAGCTGTGAATTCTTCCGATATTCGAACTTATATTTCTGATGCTACGAAACTCTTATGGATGTGTGCCGACAACACTTATAAAATCATAAATGGCAAAAGAAATCGGATATACTATTTATCCGTGAGAACACGAAGTTTTTTTCTCTCAGGGAGGGCACGGATGATTGTTAAAACGAGGAGAATGGGGGAAATGGAGGAGATAAATAAATTGAAGAGACGAATTCCTGAGGCCTTGGCCGATCCAATTTTTAATCCTTTGGTCTGATTCTTTCATTGGAAGCATTTCGACATTTTATGCTGTTTCCTCAACTCCTCTTCAATATTTTACGAATGAAAACGCTGAAAAAAATGAAAATGAAGTTACTGCTTGATGCAATGATTGCGCACAACTTGTTGCGATCTTTGTATGACATTTCTTGTGACAGCTTATACGACACGCCTTACAAATGAAAATCTTCTCAGCATGCCACATGAACAAATTACACACTTCACAATATGTTGGCACGTGAACGTATTCTAATTTGAACCGGTGACCGTTATGTAACTGAAATTAACGATTTTGCTGCTTTTTTCATGTTTCCGATTATTATAGCTCATTGGATGCTTTTATTTAGATGTGGGAGAATGGAAAGTGAGAACAAATAAGTAATATGCAATAAAATCGTCGAGAATTATTCGAAAGATAAGCTCACCACCGTTGCATCCGATTTCCTTCGTTTCTTGCGAACATTCTGCAATTTGAATTGATTTAATGAAAAGGATTTCTTGCATACTGGGCAAATAGGCAATGAAGAACGTTTTGATAAAACAGTGATTATCAAAATTCCTGACACATACAATATTTTTTCCACTTCTCTGGGAAAAGCTTTGTGATGTCACTATCAAGACGTCTTTTAAACAATATGGAGTGAATTGTTAGTAGGTTGAAATGTACTAAAACAATTCAGATTTGATTCATTTCCAGTTCTTCAAGCGATACCTGACATATGTAGCTGAAAACATTAGCAGATCAGTTAGGAAAGTAAGTCATAATTAGTTCGGACAAACTGCTTTTTTTCTCTATAGACACGCGATTCCTAAATTTGGTCGACTCACAATCCACGTCTTCTCGAGCTATATCATACAATGTTACGTTATTCACATCAAATTTAACTATTTTGAAAATGGACATGCATGTTAGAAGCAGCTTGCACTTTCGAGAAATTCTGAAAAGAGTTGCAATGAAGCAGATCAGTCCAATTATATATTTTGGGATATCATTGAGAATGCTGCTGCAATGTTTGTGATCAGTCGAAATATTAATTTCAAGCTTCACAAAAGGAATAAAGCATGAGTATTAATGGAATTAAGCTTGACGAGATTAAAATGAGAAAAAATGATGGCTGTATTACAAAGTCAAAACGTGATAAATCATCACCTCAAGGACATTTGATTTTTTGCTTGATTTCTTCATTTTTATTTGCTCGTGTAGGAATTCATTCAGAAATCCGCGAAATGCATTTACACCGAGCGTGGTGGGGAATGTAACCTGTAACGCATGTCACGTTGTATGGATCTACCAAGTGAGGACAAGCAAAAGCAATAACAAAAACTGTCTACTCTCCGGAATATGAAGTTAATCATTGCGGGATATTAATAAAGTGTTTCACGAAAAAAGAAGATTAATATCATTTGTTATGCTACGATTTTTTTCACAATTCCGAAATTTTACTAATTCGAAATCGGAGAATATACTGTATCCTAACAAGAATTGGATGAATCGAATTCGTTCTTTCTGTCCCTTACGATCTAGTGGTGATGGTGGAGATTCTGACATTTTTATAATATTATATACCTGTTCTTGTGCCGAAACTTTAGTCAACGAACCCTCAAAAATAGTGATGAGATCGTGATATTTCAGCATTGTTTTGTTTTCCTGAAAAGAAAAAAGAGGTCAGTGGAAATGAAAGGTTGGTAGAATATTGACATTCTAATGATCCGAAAAAAAGTGGTACTTCTAATTTCCGAGTCAACGTTGAGTTATGTAATTGTTGAAATGAAGTAATTTTCTGACTACTAATTTTTATGAATAATTACGGAAAAAGTTGTTTACGGAAATCTAATTAAATTTTGACTCTTCTGGTCTCTTATCTTTTTTTCATTTTTTGTGTGGTGATTGTCACGAGGAAATTATTTATTCATTAAAATCTTTTATTCGAATCTTCAAGAATGGAGCTCAATTCTCCCCGAGGTAATTGCACAGATGTCAAGAAGGCGGAAGACATTAATGATTGAAATCGATAATAGCATATTTAACAATAGCCTGTATTAATCAATTAGTCAACTGGCAGTGAATGAACTGTCTAATTGATTGCAATAAAATTTGCAATCGGACGGTTCTCAATTTCTCAAACAAAAAGTGAGAGTAAACTAAAAAAAGAAGAAAGGAAATGGTAATGGACGTACAGTGACAACCGCTTGATAGCCAATAATTTCCATATGGAATTCCTTGAAGGCTTTCTTAAAAATTGCATCAATTTTTGTGTCCCTTTTTTTCTTATTATCTCCCAATTTCATCAATTTTTTAAAAATGAATACATTGAACTGTCTGAGATCGCTGTCACTTTCAATAATCATATCGCTCGGATCAGTCTGAAATTATTTTAATTTTCTTTTCCAAACTATATTCTTTATCAGACAGAAATTGATCTTATTGTTTGGTAAAGCACCTGCTGTTTAGTTTTATGCAAATTGAAGGATTTAGTCGGGTGAAGAAGGAGTGGTGCAAATGATTGCTTGTGTGGCCATGATGATCTGAAAGTAAGCAGCAAATTAAAACGGATGAAAATGTTTCAAATTTGTAAATGCATGGTAAAACAAATCAACTGAGTTACTGAAACTCGAGATTCCCGTTTCGGCTCCTGTTTGTTTAACACTCCCCCGCCAAAATAGAGCAATGCATGTTTGAAACTTTGTAGAAATTTCTTCGTCGCACTTCCCATATTGTCCATCTCTGGCCCCAAACTGATTGGGGTAAATGTCCACCATCAGATATTAAACAGGAATTTTGATTTTAGTTTAGATGAAAGGCATGTCAATTTTAAAAACTTGAAAATTTCTTCACTTTATTTCCCACTCCTTCTTCGGCAGCATGTTATGTGGACGAAGTGATTGAGTGATTACTTGACAAGGAATATTCGACGCGAACGACGAGCACTCTTTGTGAAATGATAATTTACAATCTGCAATTAATGCTTGTACTACAGTTATTTGAGTACAGCTCAAACGCTGTAAACTGATTTGAAATTATGGCACAATGTGACAGGAACGTCCGGTTCAATCTGTTCAAAAATGTCAAACACATAGTTGAGATTATTTGTTCAGGGATCACACTTTAATTGCTTAATTAACGTGCAGACAAACAAATTCTGAAACCTGCACGAACCGTCTTTTATTTGGAAGTAATTAATGAGCACGTAATAAAGAATACCTGTGCACTTGTTCCCTTTTATCAGTATACCTGTGAAATTCTTATTGCACAATGTACAAATTTCATTACGATGCAGTCGACTGAGTTTTAAATTGTGTTTCGCTACCACTGAGGCAGGCGCTTTCGTCGCTTCGATCTGTGTCGTACTATAAAGTGGAAATGGCATGGAATTAACTGTGCTTTCAAAACTTAAAACAGAACAACAAAAACAGAGCTGACAATTAGTCAGGGAGCCAGACACATGTTTCCGTCTAATTTCACATTCGGTAACAGCATGAAATATTAGCATACCAAAATTTAAACAAAAGAAAAAGAATCTTCTGAATTAAAAAATAATTAGCGATAAAGAATGTTGTAGCACAGTGTTGCACCTATACCTTGCAGCAATAAAATCCCGACATTCACCATTACTCACAAAACTGTCACTACGTCGTGACAAAAATGCTTTCAAGTGCTTCTTGGCTCGCATGAAACCCATCTTTCTGCTTTTGCTCTTACTTTCCGGACTCTGAAACTTTACTATTAACAATGAAACAAAAGAAATACTTGCAAATAATTACCCCAAAGACTTATGGCATATCATTGCAGAAGTTTCTCTATTATTCTCCGTTAACGCTCTGTTCCCCTAAACTAAAGACAGAATTAAATCTATGCAAGCACGGTAATTATTTTAAGTGGGGCAATATGTATTTAAGGCGGAGAAGTGTGCCAAAGGAAAACAATATCGACTGTGATAATGACAAAAATGAGGTGAAAGTTGGCCAAGCGAGTCAGTCTCTTGATTTGTGCTTACCGAAGGTAACATATGTTCGGGAATTGAGATGCGATCGGTCTCTGTGCTTGCGGCTCTTCGAAACATTTTCATCTGTAAAAAAATGGAATGGTATTTTTTGGACATCATTTTGGAGTGTCTTTCAAAATAAAAGTCGTACGTAAAGGGGTCACTCAAAAGCCGAATATCATTGAAACGATGTTCAGCTTTTGAGTAGTGGCAAGAAAAATATTTGTACAATCACAGAAGAAAATCATCATGTTGAGTGAGAAAGCATAAACTATTTCGTAAACTCTTGTATTTCTCAGAATTCAAGAGACGGAAAAACCTTTTTAGTTGTCCCGGTTGATGCTGAACTTATCCGCCTTTTAAAAATTGATGAATCTCGTGGTGTCCTAGAAAATAAATAATTGTAAAGGTAGTGAAGTTTCGGTAATTCGATAATAGTAAGGGCAGTGGTATGTATGGAAGGAAAGGAAGTTTCCACTTATGCTTTATTATGAAGCTAAAGATGAGAGGATCACGGAATTATCACCTGTATGATATAATGCCGTTACCAATACAAATGTAAAAGGTCAAAGGGCAGAGTGTTGTTTTATGCTGAAAAGTCAGGAACATTTTGTTAATAGAAAGGGATGGTGGAGATGTTTGGAAGGAATTCGGTATAAATAGTGTAGTGAAAATGAGAGATCAGTTGGCCAACTTACTCCACCAGTTTCAATTTCTTGTCTTCCAGTATGAATGTTGCGTCGAGCTCGGTTTCCGACTGAACACTGAAACAAGTATGATAATGATCTCGCACTAAAAGCCTTCCACAAGGTGACCAATGAAACAGAATGAGAGTAGCAAAGTCTGACGTGATCAAAGTGCAGTAGCAAAGTTTAATAATGGCATAGCTATCATCCTTTTGCAGAGAATAAAAAAGAATGCACCTATCGAACTGAATCGAACTGCGATTGCTTTCAGCGTCCTCCTGTCCATCTTCTTCCTCGTCCAGAATACTGACATTTGTTGATGCTACTGAGAGCTCTTCCTCATCTTCATCCGAACCAGCAAATTGCGCCAGGGATTCGGGGTCGTTCAGATTAAATGATGCTAATCCCATTTTTTTTACAACCTTTGTTATTGTGAAATTTGGTGGATGTTTCTTTGGGTCGCTTTCTCTCCTCATTTCTTCGTATCTAAATCCAATCATCTCAATTTTAAAATTTGAAAGTCAATGTGAGATGCTACACAAAAGTACAGTCGGAGGAGAGGAAGAAAGGAGTACCGTTTCCTAGCATAGGCACCACGATAATGAGCCTGTATAGCGACAACAGCGCGTCGGATTTGCTGATAGTTTCGCTGAATCTTAAAGCGTTTCCAGTTTCGCTGAATCATCGAAGCTGCATCGTACATTTCATGTAAACGATTTCTTACAATCATCCCGCGAGTGGCTGCCTGAAAGATGGAGCGAAATCCTATTTGAATATTGCTGTGATGTGATAGTGAGAAGATTAAACGAAAACAACAACATAAGTTATTAAATCATCCCATGCACTGTGCTAACAGTGATTGATTTAAAAATACCCAACATCGAAATTTGTTTAAAGAGCTTAAAAGAAAGAAATGAAATTGTGATGGGAAATTTAGCAGAGAAAACTAAGCCAAAAATGTCGAAAATTGAAATGGCTGAGTTTGATGCGCGAAAGCAAAAAGCGAAACTGAGCTTTATTACGATGAATGAATTTGTTATTGAAGTTCGAGATAAATACCTGTATTGCAATAACGGTGTTGCGCAATTTGATATATTTGCGCCTTGTCATGAGAGTATGAATGCATCTCTGCAACGTTTCGATATGTTTTATGATTACCCGATGAAGGTGATCATCCAGAATTAACTTCTCAGCATCACGCATAAATACCTGAAGAAAGAACGGTTTGCTTTAACCATCAAAATATTAAAACTTTGACAGTTTTCACTGTGAAATTATGAAAGTAAAGAGAATGAGAAGAAATGCTTACTTTGGTGATTCCAAACTGCACTTCATTACTGTCAATCAATGCGTGCTGTGTGAAAAATTCCTTGACATCTTCCGTTCTACTTTCACAGCCTTTTGGTAGAAGAATTCGATATTGTTTAATGAAATCCTTCAAAAATTCAAGAAAAACCTTCCACGTCCTCGTAAATAGCGATTTACAATTTGAATATGAAAGAAAATGCATTAATGTACTCAATACTTGCGTAATGTTCACCGACCTCATATTCAATACGAACGCTATAACCAGCTCGACGTATCCGTACAGTCTCCAACATACCTGTATAACGCAACTGTCGCAGAATAATGTTGTCATCGAAATGGTTTGGAATCTACAATTCATTCAACGCTTCCTGTACGATCATCCACTTCAAGAAATTTAATCTAATTTAACAATAAAATAAATTAGATCAATAAGTTAGGTCACTCATGATCTTCCACCAAGAATACTGGCTAGACACAATTAAAGCTTCCTTGGCACTAGATGAGTATTTGAACAAAGTAATTCGGTTATTATCACTTAACAACAAAACTCTTCAAAATGCCATTTAGGTAGCACTTTAAGCAGCATTACAACATGAAACATTTTCAATGAAATGAAGCTGCTTGGCTGAACCAAAAGCTTATTAAGATAACCTCCTCCCATAGTGCATTATCATATTGTCCAACAGTGTGAGCAATGTTTAAAAGGCTTGCCATGCTGCTGAGCCTGGTCAGTGGTCATTGAAAGAAGATGGACATACCTTTTCGTTGTTGGATTTGATGCATCTGATGAAATAAGGCGTTGCCTGAGACAATGTTTTCATCAGTCGCGACAGCGAATTCTGGAACTGTTTGCCGACGGAAGATGGCTTTCCGGTGATGCTTTTCTTCTCCGAAAAAGCCTTCACTGCCTGCAAAATTGTAGGAAAACTTACGTTATGTGTTGTTAGACTTCTGCAGCCACAAATAACAACTTTGCTTAGCCAATAATATCACCGGTAAAAATCACCTGTAAGCTTTTCAGAGAGCTGTGACAGTCTTCTACTTGTACATTTGGTTGTTTTCGAGCGTGGCTAACAATTGTGGTGAAAAACGATGTATCGCAAAATGATGGCACCACTTCCTGATTTATCTCACCGCGTAGGAAAGCATTTAGATGCGTGTCCGAAGCAACCCCAGTTAACGTCCTCTTACTATCACTTGACAACTCCAAGTGTTCTGTATTTTCTGTAGACAAGTTAAATTTCAAATTAATTTCGAAAATATCATTCTAAAACGTTCTTGAACTTTTCATTTCTTACAAATTATAATTGTGTACAAGATTTGCACAGTTTACATTTAACTGTTGGTTAAGAAGATAATTTCATATCAAATGTAATGACTTCTTTTTTTGGCCAATTTTCCGGCCTGCCAGAAAGCGTTTACCGCCCGGAAAGTTGCTCGTAATATATCCCATCGAAACACCGCAACCGGATCATTTCCAACCAGTCCTCGAACAAATGCACTTTTGCTTTTCTTTACTGCCATTAGCACTTCTTGTCTCATCAAATCCTTGTTTTTCTCACGAAAACCCTGAAAATCCCGGGATAACGGGGAGGATCACAGTCAGTTCACTTGTTTCTTACTGCTAGAACCGCCCCATATACTAGAAGACATTCCGCCTTCCGAACTCACTTGAAATTTGAACAAAGATATTCTCAGAATGAATGACAGGAAACAATTCTCTGCACGTTTCTCTCATCTAATCTGATATTCACCTTAATCTGATATTTCACTTTTCCCGCATAATGGGCCACAATGAAGGCCGATTCGCGCTTCTGAGGTGTCTCATAATATTCGTTGTTCTTGAGGAAATGATTGAGTTTGTCGAGCATTGACTCATCCGTTCCATTGTTAATGTTACTTTCCTCATCAATCAGCCGTAATATGCCATACGGTTTGCTCTGTAAATAAAACAACAACAATAGCAATTCCTTTCTATTTTTTCCTTTCTTAAATTTAAATCATCAGGAATTAAAGTCATCCGTCTTCTTCTATTCATTGCCGCTCAAATCAGATAGAACCGAGTGTGAATAACACCTTCAGGACGAGCCTGAACAACTGTTTAATGATGTTACTCAGCAAACTATTAGAAAATTTATCTATCAAACAAAATAATTTTGCGGTCAGAAACTTATTAACAATAAGAGTTTCATTCTTAATTTTGATAAATAAATAAATTGTTTCAGTTTCACGAGCTTTCTATACAAAAAACAAATGTAACTGTCAGTTGAAATGTTAAAATGGAATTGATTTTTCCTGAAAGTAAACTCCTTCAACAAGTAATCTATACTTCTGATTGTTGTAACGATGAAGAATACGATATCGATTTTCCTTCCAACTAATCCGTAAATTAGTTTTATACTAATAAAATCTAAATTAGCTATGTCTTTCATGTTTTGTACCATAAAAGCAAAATTACCTGAAACAAGTGCACACATTCGGTATTATCGGTGTATTCGATATTCGTCCAAGTAATTCCTTCTTTTAGATATTCTTCCTGTCAAAAAAAAGGCCACTAATGAATGATTCTTCCATCACTTTTTCCAACAGCAACACTCGGGAAGTTAACCAATGGTAAAGATGCTATTTATGTAAATTAGCATATAAATTGTAAAGAAGCAAGCGTGAACTATCCATGTATTCAAGCTCAATTCATATAAAATTATTTAGTTATCTCTTTCCATTTCAGATATATTTTTGTGCTTTCTTTCGGTATTTCAAGTTGAACTTTTGCCTTTCACTTAAAAAAGCCGTACTTTATACCTGCTCGAATTGGAAGATATGCTGATTGAAGTAAGCCTGCAGATGTTCATTTGCATAATTGATACAGAGCTGCTCGAATGAATTCCACTTTCCACCAACATCTTCGAATCCAAAGATATCCAGGATACCTTGAACAGTCACCAAGCATTTTTTGATAAGCCACTTTTAATAGAACTGATTGATTCCCGCATTTAATTAAATAACTGCATTATTTGCTTTATCATAAAATCCAACTGGACTCTCAAAATCTCAAAGATTAATTTCAACATTCGAATGTTGAAATTTATATATTTTTTATTAATTTTCAACTTAAATCCAAATTACGAACTAAAAACAAAAGACATTTAAGAAACTAATTTCCCAATCAATAGTTAAAGGATAAACTTTCGTCGCATAATAAAATTCAATTAATACTTTAAAATTCGAGAAACTGGAGTCAAAATGTAACAATCAGGAATTTAATGTTGTGCACACAATTTAATAAAATTTAAAATCTAAAATTTTGAAAAGTCAAGATGTCACTTAAATATTTAAACACCAACCAATATAATATCCCATCTTTGACGTAAGTCGTTCTTTTTTCAGCAACGCTTGATTTATGCGTAATACTATCCAGTGAAACAAAGCATTGTAGAGGCATTTTGCCATCGCATCACGCGTATCTCTTGCCTTAATTTCATCACTTCCACTGGTTATCTTGTTTGAAATAAAGTTGCTAACTTATTATGGGAACCCGTGACCTCTTTGACCCCGAGAAATTAAATGAACGTGGTTGGTAATATATAGTTTAGTTATTTCTTTAGTTCGCCAGATCATTATTTGTGAATTATCCTTACGGAATATATTCACAGTTATCCGTATAGTTTAGAAATGTTTAGTTATTTCGAAAAGAAGCTTTCCGATATTCGAAAGGACATTTCATGGAAACGGAATAATGAAGTGCCTTTTAGTACAAATACTGGAAGACATTAATACCTATTTTCAATCAGTGAATCCTCCCTTATTTCTAATCACTAATTCTCCCATTAGAAGTTAATAAACGGTTCTGTCAGAACTGTGTGGAAATACTGAACATACTTCGCTGACATTATACTGCGAGATGACAACATCGTTTTTCATCACCGTCCGGCGCATCGTTAAGGCTTGTTGTAGGTTCGATGCTTTGATATGCAATAATGTTGAAATGATGCTTAACACCTCTTCATTACCAATAGAGACATTCTCGTCGCTATGATAACCACTTCTCTAAAGATAGCACTTCATTTATCAGTGGTGAAGTTAGAGATAGGAGTATTTCAAAAACTTCGTCATGTCATTCAAATAAAATGAAAACCGAATGTAATTACAAAAGTGATAGACCGAGAAAATACTGCAATGTGTTTTTCAGGAAATTTCACACTCTTTGCTTACCCTGACATACTGTATGTTTCCAAGAAGCAATACAGCCGAAATGACAGCGAACATATTTTGTTGGGATTGTTGTGAAAAGCCGACAGCGTCCATAGCATATTTGAGTCTTTGATATTCGTAAGGTTCGTTTACTCCCTCCGCTGCATAAAAATTATTCTGAAAATTGCAACTTTTTCATTGCCTTTGGACAGCAATGCATGAACTTGCCTTTAAAAAATATAATCAATCTCAATCCATTTCTAACTTAATTTTCCAAGCCGAGAATGCTCAATGACGCATTCATAAGAAAGAGATCGATAAGAGAAAGTGAATGAGGAATATTTCATTCTCATTCTTCTGCAATCTATCTGAGAGTTCTCGGGAACAGAGACATATCAATCACCCGCAGGGCTGTACAATCCTTTTACTATCGGAACGTTTCCCTTTCCACTTGCTTGCAAGATCCTTATGCGTCATGCATGCGTGCAGCAGTAATGCAGAATCCTTCTTTTCTCTCACGCCACAATTTCTTCGGTCATTTTGTAATCCTCCCATTTCTACAAGCTTTGGTAAAACTCTCGAAGAGCACATTTGGGGAATATGATATGACATGTGTTTGTCTACCACACATCAAAGTATAGAATTACGTTTTCGGATATTTAAAAGATGCTCAAACAAGGGTTTAAATTCGGAAAAAGCTAAGCGACTGTTCCTGTTACCTGATTAAGGTAGCTGTAATCGGTTGGTTGCATCAGGTAATGTCTTTGTCGCTCCTCGTCCGATGCACCGTTTAATAGATAGTAAAAAACATGATAGTTCCTGGGAGGTATGAGCATTTTTAAACTCGAATCTATGCTAAGCTCATCACTTACTGAGAGATCTATGGTTAAAGAAATGCAGTTTATCTAAATTATAATTTGGGATCTTCATACAGTAGGCAACCTATCTCAAAAAATTTGAAATAACTTAAGCGATGAAATTTTAAAAAAGTAAAAATTTATTTTATATTTTGCAGTTGAAGAAAAAGAATTTGCTTTTCACCTTTCGCCAATAGCTTGTGAAATGATTCGCGACTTTTCCAACAAGTAAATTTCAACATTCGCACTGAAGAAAAATTAAATTACGAATTTCACTAATTTTTAAAAATATCAAGTATCTTCTAAAGATTTGATTTAAAAATGAAAATATCTGTGTATGATAATTGAATTGCGAAACCTTAAATACACCGTATTTCTTTCATTGGTTTCAGGAATACTCATAATTCACTATCGGCAGGTGACAATCAAATAGATTTTTCACAACTTTTCGGCTTTTAATTTAAACATACCCTGAGACCATTCCATTTTCTCGATAATTCACTCGGATGAATTTCCCAAACCTGCTGCTGTTATTATTTTGCACCGTTACCGCATTTCCAAACGCCTTAAAGGTTTTCCTTTTTTTTAATTTTGACTAAAGCCTGATTATGGAGTAGCTGAAGCGATATGAAAAGATGTAATATTTGTTCAAATACACGAAAAGATAGAAAAAAAACCTCAAGTACAGGTCCAGCAGAAAGTAAAGTTTTTTCAACAGAACTTCCGGTACTGGAACCTTTTTGACTGAGTGTGGTGAAATGATGTAACAGGAAATTTGTTGATTCGGTTTTTCCGGAACCCGATTCCCCACTTATCACAATACACTGATTTTCTTTAATCCGTAACATACTAAAGCAAATTTTGATCCGCTTTATTGCTGATATTTAATGATGTATGGATATGGAAATGAAGATGTTTTCGGAGAAGTTTTATGACTGAAAATTAATATCACTTCATGTAGCGTAATAATTAAACAATGACGCGACGTAGTCATGGTTATATGAACTTATGCTATGACTTAAATCAACTAATATAATGATTTGCAAATACGTTACAAATAACACACATTGCTCTTAATTATGCTATCAAAAGCATTACTCCATAACTCAATCACAGAGTAAATCTGACGATCAGTATTCCAAACGTTGTTGATCATCATCATCATCGAAGGAAAATGTGTTCTGTGGGATATTCAGTTGATTCAAGCCAACGAGTGGAAATTCGTTGTAATCAAAGGCAGTAAATAATTAGGTGACATACCTGTGATATGTAATATTAGCAATGGCAAAAATATGTGGTGGCATGCTGGAAAGATGTCGAATTTGAGAATAGAGCCGAGCATACTTTGGATTATAGATTGGAAAGAAGTTGAAAGGATTAACAGCTAATAAAATTGGCCCTGTAATACTGGCCTGCATCATTAAATTAATTATTTTGTGCTGTCTTTTGCTTTTAAGACATAAAAGTTAAAGCATGAGGAAAAAATGAAAGAAAGATAGGAGAGTGAAGTAAATTTTGCTGGTATGCATATGCGAACATAAAAATATGAGTTGCAAATATACAGATGAAAATGAGGCGCAGACGTCGTTGCGGTCAGTGAAATACGACAAGAAGTGCGTTTGCGTCGCAACTTCTGGGCGTCGCAACTTGACAAGATAACATCTGCTTGTGTGTTAAATTATTCCAGTATCCGAAATGGTTTCTTTCTTCTGATCAGTTTTGAAATGAAAAATAAATTAGAAGAAGCGTTACCAATATAGGTATAGATGTGTCCACTAGCAAAGCGATCCTTAAGATTATCAAGTAACGTTTGTTCCGTAAGCTCCGGAAGCATGCATAAATCTGGATATTCACGGTCCTAAAACAAAAATCCTGAATAAGAAGACTTGGTTACCTTCGGTAGCCTTTTTCCCATTATAGTGATTATTAGCTGGATAGGAATGTACCTGAAGTTGTGTCAAGAATTTAGCTAAGAATGAATCGATAGTACTGGATGTTTTCGTGGATCCAAAATGCACACCATCGGATAACAATGATGAATCCTTGTGCCTAGAAGTTGCAACGTAAACGCATCAGACATAACACACCTGTCGGCTAACACACATTATCAGAGGTAATATCTTTTCAACGAGATACGAGAAAGCATGTAAACTGTAAGCGCCTCAGTGTTTAATCCTTATTCTCCTTTGATTCCCGAAATTTTCACCTCAATACTAAGCGATTTTTTGGCGCAGCTTCGTTGTTCTCGCCATGCATCGGTCGTGTCCACAACATTTGTACAGCTACCGGATACTCGCCCCGGTCAAGCCTTCGCTCTTTAAATGTCTGTCCGTCGAGTGTACCCATAATTTCGTACAGTTCGTAGTCATCAGCACACTGATGCGCCAGTTCTGCAATATATTCGAGAAGTAAACCGTGCAATAATCAAATCACATCACTCCTTATCACTAATAATTGCGTAATACACGCTCGTTTTTCATCCTCTATTCATTGATCACTTCGGAATTGTTCATTTTTCTCTAATTTTAAAAATATATTTTTAATGTATTGCCGATTTTACTTGTAGCTGCCGCAAATTGAATGTACCTTCTTTTTGTTGCAGAACCTTCTCAATAAGCTCCTCGGTGGTTGCCCATTTATGGAAATCAAAACTAATCCGATCTTCATAGGAAACCGGATTAAATGAATATAAATAAACAGAAACAGTTTGAAAATGTGAATCATCCGTCAAATTTGTATTTGAAACAACGGTTAACGATCGATGTGGATGGACTTTTACCGTACTGACAGAAGCTAACGACGAAGTCGAATCAAAACTCATTATTGTACAGTCCTGCTATATCGTATCTGTAAGCCAAATTTACATGTATTTTTACAAATTTACAGCATGTGTTTGTACCAATTCGATTCTGAAATCACATATCATTAATATTCACGTGTGTGCTCACAAATGAATTTCTAAAATGTGTCAATATTGAATGGAAGAAACGTGCGGTACGCCGACATACGACGTGAAATTGAGCAAAATGGAAAAGAAAAGCTAACAAAATAAATTGAAATTTGCCAAAACCCGGCAAAAACAAAAAGTTCAATTATTAAATTTAGAAAAAGACTCAATTTCGGTTAAATTGGTGTATTTTGGTTGAGAAGATCATTGAGTTCGTAACTTTTGATATTACCGTGCGGATCTTGCAATCTGTCAGGAGCAGAAAACAGCGGTGGTATACAACGTAGGAGACTGCTCGTTTCACACTTACTGTTTCTCGCAGTTTTTTCAGAGGTTAATCTTTGAAAGATTAAATTTCATCAGAAATAAAATTAAATTGAATTATTGGAGAAATCATAGAGGAATGTATGGGAAAGAAGGGAATTTTGGGAAGGAAGAAAAAAGAAAGAGCTACAGGTGAGGTGGTGGAGGGAAGGAGAAAGGAAGAATGGATCAGTTTGACATAAACAAACAAGATGGAATGGAGGAGGATGGGTCGATCTCGAGGAAAGGATCAGGAAGCACTGAAGTGCTTGAAACCAGTTGTTTTCAATTTCAATTTTATACACTTCCTAAACTGATGGCAATCACTCATCAAATCAGTATGACTATCACACGTACCATCCATATTTCACAATCACTGATCCTTCATTAATTCATCTCGCAACTGTACCAGATGAAAAACATCAAATTAGTAATACAATTCCGGTGATAAAGTTTATTGGCAAGGATGACAAGGATAATCACAGTGATAATGATAGCAATAAAGCGATACTAATAACGATCGGAATGGTTATAGGAGAGAAGAGCTGTAATCAGTGGATGAGGTAGAACTTTTTTTGATTGATTTTCAAAATTCTTTGGCGTGCTGAATAGGATAACAGGGCTACTTGATGTTGCTGATTGCTGATGGTTGATGACGATGATAGTGATAAGGATGATGAGGATCGGGTCGTGGTGGTGGTAAAGGCAAATTTAACGATCCATTAAATGTTCCGAAATTTTCAGCAATCGCAATGGATAATCACTGTCGTAGTGAATAGCTCCCGACTTGCTTACCTCTAAAGTCAGCTGTTCATACGGGCCAAGGAATGCAGTGCTGCTGCTGCTGCTGTATGTGTGTTATTTCCTTCTTCCTCTTACTTCATAAATTACCTACGCATGTTTCAGCCAGGAATACTATCAACTTCCCAGGGAAACAGGGAAAAAAAGCAAAGTGATATTGGAATAAATGAAATTCAGTATGTGAACGACATAGCATTGTCCTATTATTAGAGTTCGAACTTACGCTTCAGCATGAGCTTGAGCTTGAAATTGAGCCTAACTTCTCCTTCTACTTCTCCCGATTATTACTTACACAAATATGACAGCAATATTTATTGCTTTTATGGATTATGAATTTGAAGATATTGAAAAGTAACAAAAAGAGCGAAGATTATGCAAATTACATTGAAACAATTGATTGCAAGCAGAAATTTTGTGTAATTTGTAAAAATTTATGAGGAAAAATTGAAACCAATCACTTACTGGTAGAGAGCCAAGAAAAGAGGTGATGTCCAAAACACCGATTTGCAAGGGAGATAAAGCAATGTTTAGAAGTACGGTTGCATCCAATTTCCTCGATACCTTTACTTAACATAAGAGAACTTAATTAAATGAGTAGTAAAGGTGTCGTCAATTGTATATATCGGGTCACAGAGTTCACATGATGACGGAAAAGAGACTGACTCTGTGTGTGCCAGCGTAACCTAACGTACTGATCCCCGCAGATGGCTCACCCGCAGATGTTTCTTAAAATGAGAAGGAATGTGCTGCGTCATGAAGCATATGATGGTGTAAGTTGTTCTTTCACTTCCTTCTCATTCTCGATGACAGTTCAGCCTTCTCATCGCAGTCTCAATGGGAGGTTGAATTTGTATAGCGAAATTTCGAGCTTATTTCTTTCGTATTCCATCCTTGACCAATGCAAAGGTGCGGCCATTAGCTTACCTTTGGCCTATTTCTCTTTTGGGCTTGAGTAAAAGATTGAAAGTTAAGACTTCCTCATCGATATATCAGTTTTATTCTTGAAACAACGCTTTCTAAAATGAAAAAATTATTAGGCATGGAATTCCTGAAAATGAAATCATAATGTCCAGAACTCGAAGTTTTCTACTTCTATGAAACAGATATTGAACAACAACTACCGTTAATAGCAACGGACCCACTAGTCGAGAAAATTGTGTGTCCATTTTAGAGTTAAGTAATGTAGAATTTGAAGGCCACAAAAAAAAGAGAAAAAGTTAAGCTTTCAAAGGCAGTCGTAAGCTAAATGATAAAATTATAAAAAATTTTAGAATACTGTGACAAATGAAATATGAAGCAGTCACTTTGCTGGATCTCCTTCCCTACTTTTAGCCTATATTCTAACGGATGAAACAAAGACTTCCTTGCAAATATCACTGCCTTACAGGCTCACCTCAACAACAGAATTGATTAGTTGGCTGATAAGCTGGGTGTAAAAGGAAAACATAACTTCTAATTCTGACTCATTTATGCTGCGCAACTGGTCGGTATTTAGGTGGAAGATTAATTCATCTTTGACTCATCAAACTTTTGTTACATTACAGAAATACAATTCATCATTATTATGTTTAACCAGGAAACATCTAAACTGAAACGACATTATCCATTTAAATTAAATATGAGTCAGATTAAATTAAATCGAAAAACATTTTTTTAAAGAGTTGTTGAAATAGTTTTAAAAAAATATTAAATGGCTTTTTAAAAAAAAATAAGTTACCTGAACAAGTTCAATTTAATTTAATTCAACCTTGGATAAAATAATTTGATAAAAAAATTAAGTGAGAGAACTTATGGTTTCTTTTTGCAGTCTTTCTCATCGTTAAAATTACTTACAATGAATAATTGGTAAGGAAATGGAAAAACGGCTAATCACGTTTAGTTCCTCTAAATAAATGATAATAAGTGGACGTTTGCTGACATTTCTTTCTGCCATAAATTTTCTGATTTTATCATAATGGTATTTGAGGACTGCGGGCGATCGGGGACGTAAGTACGTCAGAACTATCAGTGTAAGTGTCGCAACTTCAGGGAGTGTTACAGTTATGGCATGCAGTCGTTGAATGCACTTTTGTGCCGCATGTGAGAGTAAACTCGTCGATAATCCGTCTGTCAGCATGCCAATTTTTTTCTTTCGGAGGCTAATGCTCCATCATTAAGGTCAATTGAAGAGTGAGTTTTCGTGTGATCGATAGAAATAGTGGTTGCTTTCACTGAATTCGATACAGGAAAGGAAAAGCCGAATTTTTGATAAAGGTAAAAGATGTCGTTTTTAATTCGTAAAACTGTTTAGTTCATATTAACCGCTTCCTGATTTTCCTTTTCTAACCTTAACTTCAACAAATGATACGAATATCGGACTCCGAGTGGAATAATAAATGAGTCAGTTTTAAATTGTCAAGTAATTCTTACACCTTTTATCACTTTTACCATTTCCCGATACTGAATTTTTACTGTCTTATTCTTTGTGTAGAATATATTGTTTTTCACTAATGTAGGCAAAGACAGTTCAATGATAGAGTTTGTTTTCCATCACCTTGGTCAATTCATCCGTAAGGACAATAATCCTGATATCATGGAGAGGGAAAACCATGGAAGTTATTAGGAATTCTGTCATCAGGTATTCATTCTGCAGTATAACACTTCCATTAAACGATCAGAAGGGGATCGATCGATCATCCATATATTGATTAAGGCTGTCCGATTGGAGGAAATTGCTGTTTTGAAGAAGTGGAACAATTATTTGAATATTTCCGATAGCTCTCCTATCTTTTTAAAGTGCATTTTAAAGTGACTGCAGTTTGAAAGGTTTCAGTTGATTCACACGCCCGCACAATTGTTCGACATTTCCGTGTTGTTGACGTTGATTCCCCGCTTCTTGTTTTCCATGTGATTAGCCGGTTCACTTATCGTCTGATCCACTTCAATTCCACCTTCTAAGTGAACGTCCATTGGGATAATCAGATATTTTTCAACTTCCTTTGATGTGTAGTAATAGTGGAGTGTATGATTGAAGCTGTTTTACATGAAAAGCCGAAACTCTCGACGGATTCCTTTCCGGCAACGACTTTCTTCCCACTGGGATGTTCACCCATACTGTCATCGTCCATCTCTATTCACGATCAGCTGTCCATCCATCTATTCACTCGTCCACACAGTTAGCCGTAATGCATTCCTCACCACATTTAATCTAAAAAAATGTAAAAAAAGAATTTAATTTTCCCGAACTCAATATTTTGCCATTATTTAAACCATTTTTTCAATTTCTAACCACGATAATAGCCATAGGCCATAGAAATGAAAAATGACTTCATGGGAGATAATATCCTCCGATATCCGCACACAAATCGAAAATCCTTGTTCCGAAAGGTAATTGCTGATAAGGGCACCTTCGCTGATAAGCTATGGTGCACTGTGCGTTGAACATTTCTTACTGTAACTTCTTTCTCTTTCAGACGATGGAACGTGTGGAAAATCACAATATTGCAAAGTTTTTAAAGATTCGATTGATTGATGACACTATATTCGACCGATCGATGAACAAAATGAAACTTCTTTTTTGTCAAACTTACAATACCTTATGACACTTCAGAATTTGATAATTGAATTCTGATCAAGAAAACAACGTTACGTGGCATGGCAGTATGACTTGTTATGATGCCATAAGTCAACCTCTCAAATGACAACGCATCGATTATTGTAAACAGAGGGAGACTTTTAAATTTTGCATTAAATTCGACATTCAATAAAGCTAGAGTTTGATTGATTATGGT